AAATTTACCAATTGTCTAGAAACACTTTTCCATTTAAGTACCTCTGTTATTGTTACTTTTAGTAAATAGTTGATATTGATCCAAATAGCTCATTTTTTAACTTTAATATTTTATAACTTCAATATTTGAGTATGTACACTGACACAAAATGAGATAAATATGTAGTCCAATCATAAGCTTAGGTTTTAATCTTGTTTACCCATGAGCCGCATTATTTCATCAAAAAGCCTCACCTCTCTGGCTCCTCAGGGGTTCAGTGGCACAAAATTTAGGTCTTGCCCTTTACTAAAGGGACAGAATTAACTTTTAAAAGGGGTGATGTTTGATGTAGGGAAGAGAAAGAGAACAGAGAGGAGGGACTACTAGATGACTTACTATAGCCCCTCCCTTTCTACAGCCAAACAGAGCTAAGATCAGAGGCCAGGGGCTTTCCCTTTCATGGGACTGGGAAGAGACAGTTGTCAGAAGCTGCATGAGGTCTTGGTATTGTTTTACAAATCTGATCTTTTAATCTGGAGGTTCTTTTTCTTTGGCAACTCTCTGGCTCCCATGGACCACTACCCACCCACCCACCCCCATCCCCATCCCCATCCCCATCCCCACTTTTTCTTGAAATTTGAGTTCAAATTCTCCTCTAAGTCAAAACTGAAAGATTTAACTTGTATTCCAAGACTAGCATCTACCTGGTAGTCACTGCAGGAAAGCACCAGGATTTTGGGTGAGAGGCCTGCCTTCAAATCACTGTCTTCCGATCATAGGTTCTTTAAGAGAAAGTTCTTACCTTTAAAATGAAACTCCAATGAAAGGCAAACTTACTTTTCAAATCTTTGTTGTTGTTGATTTGAATTGTGAAAGAATACCACCAGCTTGTGTTTTCTTAGCTCTTTAAGGATGTACTGGGACTGGCTTTTAGGCAAGCATCCTTGTCACTGTTGCCAAACGTGGAAGAAATCAAATGGTTCCCCGACCCTGGCCAAGCTAGGACTGAGGAATTCAGCAGAGTCCATGGCAGAGAGAATTCTACAGCTATGAAGCATTCACTCTCCGTTGCTAGGGGCCTATTATGACCTGGAGTGGGCTGCAGGAGCAATGGCAGCTACAGCTGAATTTTCAGATGGTCTTTTCAGTATAGACACTACAGGGCTACTGCCTAAGGAGGTGAGGAAAGCACAGTAGGTGATGCCTTCTCTTGACCACTGACCAGACGCTCCTAGATGAGCTTTACTACTTTGGGTGATAAGATTTCTACAAAGTTTTATTTGGGATTTTCAGTTAGAAAGTTACAGCAAATACCTGAACCATATTTTTTTTTTTCTACTTTTCTAAAAACTGCCTTGAAGTGCCTTGTTAAACAACAGCTTGGAAAATAGACTCATATGCCAACTCCTTTTTCTTTACTGCTTTTATTCTTTAAAAACATTTCTTTCCATTCCTGTAGGTATGGCAGCAATTGGCCCTTCATACACCAAGAACCCACACCCTCTCTCCCCTTTGAAGTAGTGCCCTGTGGCACACATGTGGATACTGGGTTCATATGGCTTCTATTCATTTCTGTGAGGGTATTATGACTGGAAACCAAGGGGTGATCAGTAACATTTCTCATAGAGTAGAAGGGAGCTAGGCCTCAGAAGCAGCCCAGGATTTGGATAGTGGCTCTCTCATCCCCTAGTTCAGTGACTTCAGGCAAGTACTGTACCTTATCTGTTTTTTTAATGGATACCTGTTTCAGCAGTTGCTATAAGAAACTGATGTTTAGAAAGTATCATGCTTATCAGATTCTCATTTATTTTCTTCCACCTATAAAGGTTAAGCTGAGCAATTACTTTGACCAAAGAAAAATGGTTGTTCTTTTCTAGACATTCCAGATGTTATTCTTAAGTAAGTTGAGGATATGGATGCTAGACCCATGATCTTCACTTTTAAATATTAAATAGAAGCTTGACCAAAGGTTGGTGAAGTCTAAAGGGAAACAAAACAAGCAGAAAACTCTTCGGGGTTAGAGCTGGTAGGATTCTTTTATGTATTAAAAATGAAGAATGTGAGCATATAAACTGTCTTAGGAGGGGCTCACATTTTTATTAATGGGCCACACCATCTCTTGGAAGAAAACTAAGCTCAGCACCTATATAGCTTGTATATAACCTTCATGTGTGTAGTGTCAAATGCTAAATTGGAAAGCTGACCCTAATCCAGAGTTCCTACTTTTTACTAAGGCTCACACATTTTTTTTGTTCTGCACAATAAGCATCGTAACCTAAGTGGGAAGAAAGAGATCCACACCTTCCCCCAAAGAAAAGGAAGATGGATCTAGTGTCAGGCTCAATTAGACCCAATTGTGAGGGCTCTCCAAAAAGGAACAATGCCGCTTTTGTGATATGCTCCAGCAGAAAGCTTGGAAATTTTACAAAACAGCCTTAGCCCAAGAGAAACCTAGGCTCTAGCCCTCTTCCTGGAAAGAGGGTCTGATCCAGGAAAGTTTTATACTACCCTTATCAGCATTTTCTGGGATCAGTAGTTTGAAAAAAAAAAAAAAAAAAAAAGACCTGTGTGAAAGTAGGAATGTGAATGATTCCACTGTTATATTGGGTTTCCACAGTACAACCACAGGGTGTCAGATGATTTAGATATTGTTTACCAAAGGGGACGCTGCTAGAATTGCCAGTATTCTGTTATCTGCCCCAATTCTGTCCAAGCATCCGCGGCAGAGGCAAGTGAGGGAGTGGCCAGGCTCTGCACTGGAAGGGCTTAAAATGCAAATGTGTAAGGACTCCAGGCCAATCTCCCCATCCCCCAGAAAAGTGCTCAAATACAGCGGGGCCTGGAAAGGAATGTTAAAAAGAGGGGTTGAACTGCCCACTTCCCTACCACTGGGACCCCTACTCACACTGTGAGATTCAGTATGCATGACTGAGCGACAGATCGAGTACAGACAGCACTCTTTTAACTTTTCTGAACAATAGCTTCAGTTCCCTCTACCTTTCACCATCTCACATCCTCCCCACACCCATTGTAGGGGTAGAGAAACCCATCTTTCGTCCCCACTTCCACATCTCACAACTCAACATTTTTCAACATTTCCTCTAGATCTCATTTCAACCCAAAGTAAAACGGGCCACCCTGAGGGAACTGTGACTCTTACAATCAATCTATTTTGTTTGTCTTTTAAATAGACTGTTTTAAGTATTTCACTGTCTTTAAATTTCCATCTTGTTGACAGTTTAAAGTCAAAAGTTATATAAATCTCAAGTCTAATCACATTTCTTTTAACTGTGAGCAGCTTACAACACATAGGATGTACCATACTGTACCTTATTTTCTTTAACTTCAGAACACACAAACAGCACCTCCTACTTTGGCATGTAACCAAACACATAAATGTCTTAAAAATAATTCACAGATACAAGTTTTTTTGTGTTTTTTTTTTCAAAAACATACTTCATAATTCCTCTTTTATTATATAAATATCAGTTTAACCTTTACTGTAAGAATATAAACGTTTTAAGAGGATCTTTGTTATTATTTATACAAATTCACAAACAGTACAATTAATTGATAAAGGTCTCTGGGTTTCTTAAACTCCATGGTCTCGCATGTTGCTGTGGAGGATTCTTTAAAAAAAAAAAAAAAAAAGTCCAACAAAAATATACATCCTACTCAAAAGCAAAAAAATTTTTTAAAGCCACCGAAGTTCCAAACCCCACCAAAATAAAGTAAGTCATCTATTCCTCCATTTAGAAACAATGTTTTAAAACCCACAAAACTCCATTTTATTAACAGAACAGAGATAAGACATGAATTTCAGTCTCCTCCCCTTCACATTGCAGCCCCCAGGGGCTCTGCAGGCCAATGCTGCTCCAAAACTTCCAACCGGAAGCCTCACTGTGTGACCTTTTTTTGTGGGGAAACTTGGAAGAGGGTGAGGGAAGGGCAGAATTTGCATATATAATAATCATTTTCAAGACACAATCTGCATCTCAAGCAAACAAACAAAAGAATAAACAGTTCAACTCTCATTTCTCCCACACATTTGTGCTATAAATTAAGTCAAGATTCAGAAACACCACTGGGTCCTCAAATCCCAATGGGTAAGGAGAAAAAGAAAATTATAGCCAGAATGTGGAAGTGGTACACATAGATGGATGGGGGTTGGGAAAACGCAAAAACAAGACAAACCCAATGGGCATCTTTCCAGTCTAGGCACAAAAATGTTTCAGTCTCAAAATATCTCTCTTGTAGAATTCCAGGGTTTCAGAGAAAAAAGTAAACGAAAACGAGGTAGCCAGACATATATATATATATGTATATATATAATTTATATATATATAATATATAGAATATATTCAGCAGAAAAAAAATTAGTACTTAAAAAAGAATCATGATTTCAAATTTCTTTATAAACGAAACAAAAAGGAAAAAAGAAAGGAGCATGAATACCAGAGTACTGTAAAAGGATAAGTTACAGAAGGGGAGTTAGGGTGAAAAGGCCGTTGTAGCTGGGTTTGCTTTTTATACACTTCAAAATAAAAACCAGATCACAGTATTCATACGAAAGCATAAGTGAAGGCAGACATTTTCCTCAACTCCCCAGGATTGAAAGGGCTAGTCACTCCCCCCCCCCAACCCTCATTTCCAAATGCATCACTGTGGGTAAACAGTAGTTGAATCAGTCCTCCATTCCCCAGCAGAAAAGGAGTGGGTGGGTAAGTAGCTGAGTTCATCTCCCCATCCTCTGACACAAGGAGAGGGGAGTTAGGGTAGGGGGAGCAGAAGAATGATGGGGTCAGGTCAGTTTCCATCCCCAGATGCGATGAGGAATGGGCGCTGGGGAGGGATGCAGGCGATGGGAGGAGAAAATGAGCCTGAGGCTGGGTCACTGCCCCCCTCTCAGCCACTGCAATGATGTATGTGGTAAGTGTGCCTGTAGAGTGAGCGTGTGGAGGGGCAGTGGCAGTGAAAGGAGGATGAGCGGGGCGGGAGAAGGGGAGCTGGTGCTGCCGCCCTCACCTGACCTTCTCACTGTCCGTCATCTGCCAGAGTCCCAGGTTGAGTACCTTGAGGCAGGGCAGCTGCGTGATGCGCTCCAGGCCACGCTTGGTGATTCGGGTGCAGCCATACAGGTCGATGCCAGTAAGCTGGCTCAGGTGCTCAGCAATCAGCTCCAGGCCCTTGTCTGTGATGCGAACACACTGTCCGATGTTGAGTGTACGCAGCCCGTGCATCTGCCTCACCATGCGGTTGATGCCATCATCACTGATGTGGCAGGAGCAGAGGGAAAGGGACTTGAGACCGTCCAGGCCCTGAGCTATGTAAGCCAGACTCTGGTCCCCCACCTTGTCACAGAAGGATACATCCAGCCCCGAGAGGCGCAGGCTGCCCATGGCCAGATGCATGATGCCCGTGTCACTGATGTTGTCGCAGGAACGCAGGTTAAGGCTGCGAAGGCTGGCCATGTGCGACAGGTGCAGAAGGCCTGCGTCCGAGATGCCCCCGCAGAAGCTGAGGTTGAGGAGCCTCAAGCCCGTCAATCCTCGGGAGATGTGCTTTAGAGAAAGATCGGTGAGCTTCTGGCAGTCCTGCAGGGTGAGCTGTTCCAGACCCAGGCAGCCTTCCGCTGCGCTTCGAGTCATGCCGGCCAGGTGTCCAATACCCACATCCGAGAGATGGCGGCAACTGCGTAGGTTAAGGCTCTTGAGGCGCTGCAGACCCCAGGCTATGAGCAGGAGGCCAGTGTTGGTGATGTTGCTGCAACCCCCCAGCTCCAGCACCTCCAGGCCCTTGAGGTACTGGGCAATGCGGCCCAGGCTGCTGTCGGTGATCTGTTTGCAGAGGCTCAGGTTGAGGGCACGCAGAGAGCCGATCTCCTGCACAAACGCGTGGCCCAGTCCGTTGTCCGTGAGGTTGTAACAGCCGCTTAGGTTGAGACTCTCGATGTTGGCCATGCCCTGAATCACGTAGCTTAGGCTGCGGCGGAGGCTCAGGATCTGCACCCGGCGAATGCCCCGGGCCTGCAGACTGGGGAACAGCGACGGGTTGGCCCGGCGCAGGTGCAGCTTGGCCTCCACCCCCCGCCACACCGACTTGTGGTAGGCGGCGTCTCGCCAGGCCGTGCACACCTGCGCCGCGCGCCCCTTGTCCCGGACGTCCAGGTAGCCGAAGATCATGGCCAGCAGCTCCGGGAACAAGCAAGAGATGTGCGTCTCCATCTTCCTCCTCCCCCCTCCGCGGCTCTGGGGGGAGGAGGCGCGGGCCCCGCCGCTCCTGCCCCGGGGAGGCGACGAGTGCGGTTCGCCCCGGCCGCCACAGCCGCCTCGGGCCCAACGGACGGCCACTCCCCGCCTTCCGGCTCCGGTCGCCGCTGCCGCTCCTCCTCCGAGTCGGTCCGTCCTTCCTTCCTTCCTTCCGGCTTCGCCTCCCTTCCCTTCCCTCCCCCCGCCCCGGGCTCCGCTCTGTCCTCACATCCCGGGCGGGGAAGGCGACGTCTCACTCACTCCCAGAGCTCGAGCCGGCCGGCCCGCCGCCGCCGCCTTCGGTCTAACCACGCAGCGTTCTGGCCGCGCCGCTCCGCCCGCTCTGCCGTCGCCGCTCCCACGCCCCCTGCTGCATCCTCCGCCTCCTGCCGCTGCCGCTGCCGCCTCCGGCTGCCGCTGCAGCTCTGCTAGCCGGCGAGAAGGGCCCCGGGGGCTGGGCGCACCGGGCTCCGGGCGCCGAGAAGGCTTCCTGCTGCCTTTGTCTCTCACCGCTTTTCAAACCTCCCAGCCCCGGGCCGCCCGCACTCCGCCACCGAGGCGGGGGGACCAAGATGCCAATTCGAGCTACCGGGCGCACGTTCCTTTTCCCCCTGCCGTTCGCGGGCAGTTGGGAGTTGCCGGCCCCGGCACTAAGGACGCCGTGGCCAGTGCGCGGCTCGGCTCAGACCCCTAGGCGAGCAGGCGGGCCGCACGTTTGGTAGAGTCCAGGATGTACCCCTGTGCTCGACTGTTCCTTCGCGCGTCCCCTCCTCCCTTTCTTGTTCCCCCCGCGCGCGCCCGCGCAATGGTACAAGCCTGCGCTGCCGGAACTGTGAGCCGTTACCCTGGAAACCGAGTTCTTCCTATTCTAGTCGCCCCTGATTTTTAACCCTCGAGGCGCCATTCGAGAGCAGCTGTCAGCAAAGCTCTTCCCCACCCTCCTCCTTTTCACCCCGTATCCCGTTATTGAGCCAGTCCCGCTCTGGGCCACGCCCCAACACCGTTCTTTCCCTTTTTCTTTGCGGCTGACGTCTGCAGAGCCTCTTCCCATAGTTTACCCCTACAATCCTTTACCCTGACTTTACACTCTCTCCCTTTATTATCCTTGCAAGACTCTCCTCACAATAAAAGTACTCAATAATCATTGCCCAACTCTTCTTTCTTTTTACTGTCCCTAATGTCCCTTAACACGTCTTTGCTATCACACCCCCAAGCCCCAATGAGGCTGTTTCCTACTGTTATTTTCTCCTGGTTCTTGTGCCTTACATTGTGGAAAAACACAGCTTTATTTATCCATACCTTGGTTAAACATTGACCCGCTCTAATCCTCATTCTGGAATTTTCTATAGTTATCCAGCACTACTATCTTCTAGCATCTTCTGGTTGCTTCCAGACACAAATTCTGTGTGTTTTCCTCAGAGCTTTTTCATGAAAACTTTCCTCCACTTCTTGCCATCTTAAGCAGCTGAACGACTGGGGGCACCTTCCATCCAGCTTTACTTTTAAAAGGGAGCGGCTGCCCCTAAACCTTGTTTCATTAACCTCTTTTTTCTTTTCATTAACCTCATAGATTATACATAAAAAGTACTAATAGTTAATGTGTTTGTATGTGGAAATACAAATGTACTATTTTTATAAAATGAGTGGCTATTATACTCGATTTAAGATGCCCTAGCAGAGATCTATTGGTTCATAAGCTGTTTTGTGGAACCTGGACAAGGGGTATTCTAGAATGTGACTTAAATGACTTAGAAGGTCATTAAGTGCCCACAAAGAGGATCTCTTGTTAAGTGCCATCGAGTCGGTTCTGAGTCACAGCGACCCTGTATAGGGTTTCCAAGGAGTGACTGGTGTGCTTGAACCACTGACCTTGCAGTTCAAACTGACTTTGCAGTCCAGCGTAGTTAACCCACAGTGCTACACCAGGACATAGAGGACAGTATTTCGGAATTTCATTTTTAACTACACCCCAAACCAAGAATGTTTGAATCAGAAGAAATGAAACACTGTATTTTAGATTTATGGGCCTACACAACTAGAAAGAAGACCACCTGATTATCAGAAAAGGAAAATGGTTTCATTGGTTGAGGACCTAACCAAGATATTGGCAGGATCCATCTGCTGTGCGCAGGGTCGCTGTGAGTCAGTACCGACTCAATGGCACTTAACAACAATGTATTCAGTACATGAGACAGTACATTTTTGGCCCAAGAGACCAACACTACACCTAAAGTATGCACAGATTCATTAACGAGTATAATATATTTTACACCAGACCCATCTCTCCTCCTCCCAAATCAGGAAATGCTGAAGTAAAAATTCTTACCAGTTTGTTACCTCACCCACATTTCACCTGGTGTGAGGCCCATAGATTTTTATAACCTTCCTGCAATCATTGACTGAGCTTGTTAGTCATCCAGGTCACTCCAGATCTGCTGTGGTATAAGTATCACAATTCTGGGGTGAACCTGGGCTTAGACTCTCACCACTGCTATCTAAAAGTTGACCTTAAACTCTACACGAAAGTCACTTTTGTTTTATTTTTTTGGGTTTTTGGGTGTTGATGTGTTTGTGTTGACTTTGAGGTCTTTACCCAAATACCTATAGTGTACCTTGATCCTACTGAACAAAAAAGAAATACCAGGCCATACATTTTGGGTGGATTTTCAGACAGAGAACTTAATTTAAGAAAGAAGAGGCTTGGTGGTTACTGTTCTCAGGTCAGAAGAGTCATTTTAGAGGAACCTCGAAGTTAGCCATAGCTAGTAGTTTCTAGCAAAACTATTTCTTCGGACTTTGATTAACATAGAACCTTTTGTTTAAAGCATCAAAAATATGTTACAAGGATTTTCAGGATACACAGTACAGTATGGATGATTTTCATGTGAGGTAAGTAGGAGAGATGAACATTGTTGTTCAGTGCCGATGAGTGGGCTCCAACTCATAGTGACCCTTTAAAGATTTCTGAGGAGCAGCTGGTGGGTTTGAACTGTCAAACTTGTGGTTAGCAGTCCAGTGCTAATCCTACAGCGCCACACCAGGAAATGAATATTAGCAGGGGAAAAGTAAATGTGGTGTTACAAGAGTCCTATGCTGAGTCCACAGGCCAGGTAACATTAAAAAAAAAAATTATGGCACTGAGGGAATTAACTTCCCTTTCTGGGTCCCAGTTTCCTCATCTAAAAGTCTGATGCTTTGACTAATCTTCAGGAACTTTCTCATTGGTAATACTCTGTGAGATCTGGAGCCTAAAATTGGTCTTTTGTGTCCTTAGCCCTGGGATTATGCATTGTTCCTAAAGCAGGCCTAAGATTAAGACTATTTTCACATGCAGTGGCTTCATGGGGCAATTTTTGGTGTAAGCTCATATTTGGGACACAAAGATGTATGTGTATAGATGGTATGTGGTTGTTGGTGGTGGTTGTGTGCCATCAAGTTAGTTTCTACTCATTGTACCCCTGTATTGGATTTCTAAGGCTCTAAATCCTGGTGTGGCGCTGCAGGATAATACACTGGACAGCAAGGTCAGTTTAAACCACAGAGTTGGTACTTTAAACCTGCCAGCTGCCCCTTGGAAATCCTAGACAGAGTCACTATGAGTCAGAATTGACTCGATGGCACTTAACATCACAACAAATCTTTACAGGAGCAGAAAGCCTTATCTTTCTTAATGAAGTAGCTAGTGGGTTCAAACTGCTGACCTGACAGTTAGCAGCCCAAAGCATAACCCATTACAGCAACAGAGCTCCCAAAGAGGATCTATATGGACTAGAAATTCCGACTGTCTGAAAAAGATGTATACCAGTGTAGGAAATCCTATCAATAGTGTTCATATTTTAAGGAAAGGATGATTTCTGTCTTTGATTCAATAAATTGCAATCATAATAAAAGCTATGAACTTCTGCGTTTAGAAGCCAAAATGATAGCCTTGTGTAGAGTCTCTCCAAAACGTAACCAAGAATTACAAAGAAACTAGATTTTTAGATGGGTGGGGCCAGGGGAAAATGAGAGGCCCAATCCAAAGATCAGGTTTAGTTAAGGATGTAAACTTTCTCATTCAGAAACAGATCTGCCATGAAATAGCAGAAGATATGCACATCTCTTAACTCCTCTTTGGAGGGGGAGTGAGGGGAGGGAAGAGAGGAAGTATATAGATAGATCTTCAAAAATAGTGGCCCAGAGTCCAGCTGGTGGATGTTGAATCAAAGGACTTAAATTATATTGTGTGTTTTCCTTTAAATTAACTCTAAAGCATCTGGTACTTTGTTCTCTATGTAATCTCTGAGGGTCACTTGATTCTGATTCAAACTGCTTGAGAAGGGTAGGTAGAACTGCTGCATGGGATTGTCGTGGCTGTAATCTTTATGGAAGCAGATTGCCAGGTCTTTTTTCTGTGGCACTAGTAGGTGGGCTTTGTCAACCTTTTGGTTAGTAATCAAGCAAAACTGTTTGCGCCACCCAGGAACCATATAATGTTGGTAAGTGCCGTGCAGTCAATTCTGAAGCTTACCACAGTGGCTGAGACTATAATTGTTACGTGCCAACTCTTAGTGACCTTGTATTGGGTTTCTGAGAAGCATCTGGTGGGTTTGAACTGCTGACCTTGTGGCTCGCAGTCCAGTGCTGATCCTACAGCACCGCAATGAACTGAAAACAAAAGAGGTTAATAATAGTAATAATAATACCAGTATGTAACACTTCATACATATTAAAAATTCTCCAAGAATTCTGGGCCTCCATTAGCAATGGATATCTGAGGTTTATAAAATGGTCCCTTTCCAACCACTTTCTAAGATCGAGATTTTTGAAAGCTATAGTTTCTCTACTCCTAAGTATAAGGAGTAAGGAGCTCTGGTAGCATAATGATTACGAATCGGACTGCTAATCTCAAGGTCAGCATTTCGAAACTACCAGCAATTCTGTGGGAGAAGAATGAGGCTTTCTGCTCCTGGTAAGATTTGCAACTTTGAAAACCT